ATATAATACAATTCATATCACAAAAGCATATACTTTACACGTAATATATATGTTTATTAGTATCTCTTTGTTAGCCCATGTACATCCATGAGAACTGTAGATATGTGAGTCTATTTAGGTTGTGCACTATGTTGTCACCATAGCTCGTATGGGGTCCCACTAGGGGCTATGAGAATTGTTCCGAAGGACCTATATACTATATTGTCCCGAAGGACCACTCCTTAAGAACCATATACATATTTCAATGGATCACATATGTGTCTCATAAGACCCTGTAAATATTCCAAAGAATACATATATGTCCCGAAGGACCACGTAGAACCCTCGACTCTTGGCATGCCAACTATACCTCTTGCTCTCTTTACACATAACATGGGCATTAGCAATCTATCATGTCACATATTCACATGTACACTTTCATAACACATCATATAAGCTCATAGCTTCTTTCACATATGCATGTAGTCACATAGCTTCTTTTCATATTCTCATAAAATTACATAGCTTATATCTTATACTTTGTTTTCTCATGTTCACATATATCCTGCCATATGGCTCATATATATACATCACATAGCACATACTTCTCATATCATTACATTCAAAAGCATGTTAACACATATAATCATGCATACATACAATTTATGTCATGCATATACGTATAATCATATATTCATGCATTCCACATAGGAAATAGACTTGTCACAAGTCTTGTTTCCATTTAACACCATAAACGAATTAATATGCACTCACCTGAGCCTCACTAAGTTCCAATCCACTTTTGTGATTTTTCCCTTTCTTTCTATCGAATCTTAACTTGATGATCGTTCTGGAATTTGTTCATTTTCGATATCTACATAATCACATATTGATACATATTAGTATCCAATTGATATACTCTAATCTATCATTTCTTAGACTAAAAAATGTCTATTTCAATTTCCCCTTGAAGTGCATCGATGCATTCTATAGTGCATCGATGCATAAATTACCTTCGATGTTTTTATTTTAAGGGGATGCATCGATGCACTCCTTATGCATCGATGCACCAATTGTATTCGATGTTTCTTCTTTAAAGAGTGCATCGATGCACATTGAATATGCATCGATACACCTTGCCCAGAATTTTCATTTTAGCACGAAAATCATCAACTCTTCCTTTAATTCTTCTATTTTAAGCCTCTAATATTTCATTAAACTCAACTACCATTACTTAAACCAACTTATATCCATGTAAATCATCTTTAACCTCAAAATCCTATCTTCCTTATAAAATTCAAGAATCATACTCAATTTCTAACATGTTCCAAATTCCATTCAATTGCTTCTAACTTCTTAATTAGACCCTTGACAAGTCAAATCCAGCTTTAGAACTTCAAAAACCTTTCTATAACAAAAGTCTATTTCTACACCCTTCATATAATTTCCTTTTTAATTCTCTATTCTTGGTGTTTAAAGCTTATATAAGCTTTTCTTAAGCTTATATAATACTCAAAGAATCAAAATCAACTTATAAATCCAAGAATTAAATAGCTGAAATTAAACTCACATTTGCTCAGCACGTTGGAGAAGAAGAAAGCAAGAAGAAGAAGAGTTTCCAGATACTCCTTCCCCTACCACGTGTTTATCTCTTCTTAAAGAGAGAAATAAAAATATCTTTTTATGACAAATGACCACTTTGCCCTTAATTCCTTTAATAATTACTAACAACTTTCTGGAAATATTCCCAAATAAATCATTGAACTATTTCATTCTTCTACTTTAGTTACCAAATTCTAAAACTTTACAATCTGATCACTAACCCGATATTAAGGATGTTACACGTAGAATTTGTCCTAAAGGACCACGGAGAATTTGTCCCGAATGACCACGTAGAATTGTGTCAAATAACCACGTAGAATTGTCCCAAAGGACCACATAGATTTGTCTCGAAGAACCACGTAGAACCATCGACTCTTAGCATGCCAACTATACCTCTAATTCTCATACATATATCTTGGGCTTTAACCATAAAATTATTTCTTATTTCATTATTTAAAGTGTGTCTTATTCACATAGAATACATTCTCATAGGGTACTTTCACATAGAACATTTTTGTATAAACATATTCACATATCTCATGTTCACATTCATGTGCATATAACAGTTAAAACATAGCTTTAGAAATGTAACTTCAAATAAAACATTATAAAACTATTGCATAAAAGAAATAAAATGGTTTTTGATCAAAAACTCCGAGGTTGGATTATCGCAAGCCGTCTTCAAATCTAATATAAAACAAATGAGTTGCACTCACCTTTGCCTCATTGAAGTCCTAAACGAATCCTTTTTGCTTCCATTAAATCTCTTTGCAATATTGCTTTGTTTGGTACGTTACTGATCCCAATCTACACATAAATATGTCAAATATCAATAACGAATTCCCATTAAAGGGGTAACCAATTAGCACTTACAAAAACGGAACAACAACTTCTAATTTAAATTTTCAGACTGATTAGTATCGGTACCCCTCTTATAGTACCGATACTTTTCTTCTATGATACCGATACCCTCTTCAGTATCGATACCATTTTAGCATTTTGGAAATTTCATTTTCAATTACAGTATTGATACATTCCCCTTAGTATCGATACCAACACATCATTGTCGATACTTCTTAAATAAGTATCGATATTGTTCATCGAATTCATACTTTTCCTTTCAATTTTAACCTTATAGTATTGGTATTGTTCTTCTAGTTCCGATACTCTTACCCAAATTTCATTTATTTCACTTCGAATTTTACCCACTCTTCACCTAAATCTAATGATTTTAGCTCCATTCATACTCTCAAACTCATAGTCACTAATCCTAGCTAATTTACCTTCATTAATCCCTTTATAACATCCAAATTCTCCATAGAACACAAAAAACTAAAAATCATACCTATTCTTCAAACATGTTCTTAACCACTTCTAATATTTCAAACACCTAAATTTAACCTGTGACAAGTCAAATATACATATAGAATCCAACTACTAACCATATTTCATAAATTCACTTAAAACCCCATTTTACTATTTCACCATTAATTCCTTATTCACTTAGTTTCTCTTCAACTTTTAGCTTCCTTAATTTTGTATACCACTCAAAGCTTCAAAACTAACCCAGAATTTAAAGAAACAACCAACTAGAAATATATCTCACCTTAGCAACAGAGGTTACGGTGGACGAGAAGAAGAAAAAGAAGAAGATAACCCAAGGTTCCATATTTTTCCCTTCCTTATCTCTTTCCCACATGTTAAATATCCTATTAAATGAATTTTAAATTCATTTTGTGCTAAAAGACTTTTTTAACCTTCCATTCTACCATTTTTGCTAATAAATCCTATACACAATTTTCAAAATCAATCTTTGAACTATTCAATTAATTCAACTTAAATTGCCAAATTTTAAATTCTTACCATACAGTCACTGACCCGATATTTGGGGTATTACTTATGCAATGTATCTGATAGGTGGTGCTCCTCCACCAATGTCACTACCACATTCAACCTAATCAGTCCAAGCAATATCAATTTTTTAGATTTTTTCAGTTTTCATTGAGCTGTAGGATTGCTGATTACACACCACTTCATTCATTATTCCACGTAGATCATTCTTTGCCATTGACTCCAACACAACAAGTTGAAACTGATATCGATGAAAAAGATGAAAACAATGAGGATGAAGATCCTCTTAAAGAACTATCTATATGAAGAAATTCTGTTTGAAACAGACAACCACCATTCTGTGGAACTTATTCGTGAAGAAAACATTGCTAGATTTTATTTTCATTTTTAAATATTATATTAGGTTTAATGTAAAAAAAGTTATGTTATATTTAAATTAAATTTCAAATTTTATTTTTATATTTAATGCCATATTCGATATTTTAATGTTATATTTGAATTTAATGTTACATTTATTCTTTTAATTATATTTTGAAATTATATATTACTTTTTGTATTTTATTAAGAAAATGAACGTACTTTCAATTGAACAATCACATAAGTAAAAGATAGGGGCCTATAAACTTGGATATCGAATTTGATTGGATCTAAAAATACGAAAATTTAAAATTTCATATAGCTAAAACAACGATTCGAATTTGATCTAGTTTTATAACACTCATTTTACCTAGAACTAATATCATTTTGGAGAAATATATGGGCAATATTCTAATACAAGGTTAAAATTATTCAAGAACTTAAAAAAATATTTGAGCATTTCCGGCTTGTTTTATAATCATACTGACAATTTTAAAATCACATGTTTGATTATGAAAAAATAGGTGAAGTTAACAAAAATGAAGGATCGGCAACAGTTTTTGATGAATGAATGGCTCAAACCCGAAAACTCAAAGAATAACAATAATTTCTTTATTACCGAGATCATTTGATTCGCGCATATAAACAAAGACTTCAAATCAATAAATATTTGACTTAAAGAGGCAAAGCTGATATGGGTTTGGACTTTGGAGAGGAAAGGAAAATAGAACAAATAATAATAAGTTTGAGGGTGTTAGCAGCTATATTACCTTTAATAGAGAAACAGTAAACTTTGAATGGATATGGTTAGAGAAGGAATTTTGCAAGTTACAGGATCACATGTGTACAAGCTAAAGGCCACTTATTTGGAAAAGCTTCCCGTGGAAGATAGGGTTATTGGGCCTACGGTTAACAGTGCCATTTATTTTCTTTTGGGTATTCAGATAATCCGAAAGTATGATTTTTATTTATATTTAATTATTTAATTTTTTTTCTAGATATTTGATCTGAATAATTCAAAATTTTTTTGATAGATACCTTAATATTCGGATATCATTGGATAAAAAAATTGAATTGTTCAAATCAAATATTTTACACACTACTAATCATAGGGATAAACATGAGTCGGATTTTTTTATTATGTTGCAGAAATGAATCTTATATTCAAAATTAAATTTTCTATGAGTGTTAAATTGGAAATTAGATTTATTGGGGTATATCCGAATAGAAAAGGCCCTTCTTTCAGCTATGATTTGACTTTCCAAAAACAACAAAACTAACAAAACTGGCCATATCCTAAATTCATGGGAACAGATATATCGGAGCCGTTGATTCTCAAAACGGAAAAATTCGACGACGGAGCGGAGTCGGAGCGAGTTCCCGAATGGAAAGATCAGATAAAGATCAGAGGGCTAGTGGTGAGCGCCTTGTTAGGGACTCTTTTTTGCATAATCACACACAAGATGAATCTAACGGCCGGGACGTATCCTACGTTGAACGTCGGCGCTGGATTGCTCGGATACTTCTTCGTAAAATCGTGGACCGGTTTCCTGTCTAAGTTGGGGTTTCAAGTTTCGCCTTTTACTAAACAAGAAAACACTGTAATTCAGACTTGCGTCGTCGCTTGTTACGGCCTCGCTTATAATGGTAATACAAACTCAATAACAGTTTCAGATTTTAGCACTTTTGTTTTTTTAATTAGTGATATGGCTAAAATGTTATTAGCTTGCTTCTGTTTAGTTTAAAGCATTTGAAGCTTAATTTTGCTGTTACGTAGCCTCTGAAATTTCCAAAATTAATCAATTCTGTGATGTAAATGATTAAAAAGTAACTAATAGCTTTTTCGTTATTTATTAATCTTGATAGAATTTGGTATCATTGATTAATTATATTGGGGAAGCTTAACTTTTAGTTTTAAATTAAGTTTGAATAACTGAGCGGTTCTGCCTTGATATCTGATTGTTCTTTTATAGGGGGATTTGGATCGTACCTGATTGCAATGGATGAAAGAACATATAATCTTATCGGTGTCGATAACCCTGGAAACCGAGCCGAAGATATTAAAAACCCTAGGATTGGATGGATGATTGCTTTTCTCTTTGTTGTCAGCTTCCTTGGGCTGTTTAGTGTTGCTCCGCTTCGCAAGGTATAACTGTTCTGAGGCGTGAGAGTTTGGCTTCAATCTCTAGCATGCGATTGGTCTTTTATAAGTTGGTGTTTTGATTGTCTTTTTACTTTTATCAGATAATGGTCTTGGATCATAAACTCACATATCCCAGTGGAACAGCCACAGCTACGTTGATAAATAGTTTGCATAACAACTCTGGTGCTGAGCTTGTAGGGTACTCATTTGATTCATTTTACTCATTGTCTTTTCATTGGTTAAATGCAGCTATAGTGATGAACAACTTAATTACAAAAGAGTGTTGTCAAAATAGATAATGGAAAATGAAAAGTGTTGAATGAACATTTATGCATTTACAACTTGAATGAAGCTGCTTTAAATCATAGGACTTGCTTCGAAAATAAGAGAGAATAGTTTTTACGTTTTTGAGTTTGTTGCAGGAAGCAAGTCAAATGTCTTGGAAACTTTCTAAGCATAAGTTTAGTTTGGAGCTGCTTCAAGTGGTTTTTCAGTGGTATTGGAGATTCTTGCGGGTTTGATAACTTTCCCACTTTTGGTTTAATGCTGTTCAGAAACTCGTAAGTTTCTCTCAGATTCAATTTTCCATATGAATTCTGTCCATTTTTCCCATGTTGGAAAAATTCTCATATATGATATACGTAATTCTATATTGGCTCACGGCAATAGAAACTGTCTTACCATCAAAAAGAGGGCATAAACGATGGTAACCGAATGATACTTCTATTTTTTTTGGAAAATAGTGTTAACATGATTGTTGATGTTATTTTTTTCTCTGAAAGTATGATTTTTGATATTATATTAAATGATTTATGGATATTTTAACGTTTCACATGGTTCCTTTATGCAGGTTCTATTTTGACTTTAGTCCAACCTATGTTGGTGTTGGTCTTATATGCCCACACATTGTAAACTGCTCTCTTCTTCTTGGGGCAATCATATCGTGGGGTTTCCTCTGGCCTTTCATTTCAGCACATGTTGGGGATTGGTACCCTTCTGGCCTAGAGAGCACTGATTTTAAAGGTCTTTATGCTTATAAGGTAAAGTGAAAGACTTTGGCACTTTTAGTTCTGTTGCAAAGTTGTAGAAGGCTATGATGTTTCTGTTACTTGCACCTTCTGGTTTATTTTCAATCTCATCTTGATTGGAAGGTTCTTTTCTCTAACACCAGTCTAAAGAAACTTTCTGGGGCTCGTGTTGTTACAGGTTTTCTTATCTATGGCTCTTATCCTTGGGGATGGCCTTTACAACCTGATCAAGATAATATGTGTAATTGCCAAGGAAATGTGTAATAAAAGCACCAAGGAGAGCAAACTTCCTATTGTTCAAGAGGGTATAAGTGAGGATAACCTGATTAGCCAGATGGTTGCTTCATCATTTTGCAGTCTGTTAATGATTCTTTTCTGTTGCAATGATTTCATAGTTTTTGAAATAATTATCGCAGTTAGTCACTACCGGGTGGCTTTTACTGAAATAAATTTCTTTGTGCAAAATTGCCCTTTTTGGTGAAAACTCCTTAATTGATGCATGATGTGTTACCCTTATTTGAATATTAATCCACCTTTTTGAAAACTCCTTAAAACTTCTACACTTCTGGGCAAAAGTATTTATACATTTGCATCAGATTCCTTGCACTCACTCAAGCATTCTGTTTTCAGCTGCGGGTTAGTTAAAATATTGTTTTTGTTTTCGTAGATGATCAGAGTTCTACAGGACTAAAAGAGAAGAGAAAAAGAGACGATTTATTTCTTAAAGACAAGATACCTACTTGGTTTGCTGCTTCTGGATATGTGGCCTTGGCTGCTATAGCAACAGCTACTATTCCAATCATCTTTCCACCCCTCAAGTGGTATCTGGTTTTGGTTTCATACATTATTGCCCCTGCCCTTTCCTTCTGCAATTCTTATGGAACTGGACTTACAGATTTGAACCTGTCTTTCACTTATGGGAAGATTGGTCTTTTCATCATAGCTTCATTAGTAGGAAGTGATGGCGGAGTCATGGCTGCTTTGGCGGCCTGTGGGGTTATGATGTCCATTGTCTCCACAGCATCTGATCTAATGCAAGATTTCAGGACCGGTTACCTAACTCTATCATCTGCCAAGTCTATGTTTGTGAGCCAGTTGGTGGGAACAGCTATGGGATGCGTAATTGCTCCACTCACATTCTGGTTGTTTTGGACTGCTTTTGAAGTCGGATCACAAGATGGTCCATACAAAGCACCTATTGCTGTGATATACAGGGAACTGGCTATTCTTGGTATTGAGGGATTTTCAGGGCTACCGAAGCATTGTTTGCCTTTATGTTACGGATTCTTCGTGGCTGCTTTGATTGTAAACTTACTAAAGGATGTGACACCAAAAACAATTTCACAATTTATTCCTGTACCAATGGCCATGGCCCTTAGTTTCTATTTGGGAGCTTACTTTGCTGTTGACATGTTTGTGGGAACAATAATCTTGTTTATATGGGAGCGAATCAACCGAAAGGATGCAGTGAAGTACGCTGGTGCTGTCGCGTCGGGTTTGATCTGCGGTGAGGGTATTTGGACGATACCATCAGCTTTTCTGTCAATCTTCAAGATCAACCCACCTATCTGCATGTACTTCCGGCCTTCGGGAAGTAGCTGATGAAGAAAGCTATTGGCGAGTTTTATTTTTGTGTGGAAATATATTGTATGTATCATGTATGCAGTGGGATGTTTCTTGGATTATTCATATACTTCCAAACATGGAGATTAAGAGATCAATCTGCCCCATGTAAATTTAATGGTAATGCATATATTTGTGTAATTTAGCATTCTATACAAAATAATTATGAAAATTAATATTATTTATGAAGAGTATATTTTCCAATATTTGCACCATTGAAATCTGAATATGCAGGTACAAGTTTGTTTCCAATAAATTGGAGGTAAAATTTGCGAAATCTCATTTAAATTATTGTTAGTAAAAGAATGTGATTGAAACTTGTACGTGCTAGACTTTATTTAAGCTTAGAAATGGAAGTGTTTTCCATGTTTAAGGTTTTGCTTTTGTAAAGTTTCTGTTAGAAATTTAGGATGCTTGTATTCCATCCCTTTTCTTTTTAGGATAAACTACATGAATGATCACTAATGTTTTGAGTAAGTTTTCATTTTTCCAATTGAAATTTCAAAAGTAACAAATTGATCAGTAATTTTATCGATTTGTAACAAAATGACCACTCTACAGTTATCTTGTTAAATTGATGACGTGAGGAACACGGCTCGTAGAGTTCAATCACACAAGGATGACCCGCATGGGAACAAGAATAGATTGTTCGTACAAAACAGTTTATGAAGGAAAAAAGGGTTTATTGGATGTAGCAGAATATTACCATGAAGCGTACATTCACCAATACAGAAGAAATCTTTGTAGTTTCTTTCAAGTGAGGAGCTTGTGAGCCAAAACCGCAAGGAAAACTTGCTTCCGTGATGGCATTATACAAAACGTCCGTACATCAAAAGAACATGAATACTAACCTCAAACTCAAAAGTCAAACAACAATTTGTTCCGTCATAAATTGCTTTAGCCATATGGATTATGGATTGTCAAGTGTCAACTACAACTTCACCGCTTGCTTCATGTATCTCAGAGCAGACCGCAACATTTGGGACAGAACCTTCGCTTTAGCTTTCGGCTTAAAAGAAAGTTAGCTAAGCATGACCAAAGTCATACTTAGCATAATTGTTGAAAACAAAATTTAAAAGAAAATAAAGAAGTGTGCGAAAAATTAGAGACAAAGCTAGAGAGAAAAATGAGATTTTATTCTCAGATCTATGTCTGTTGTGTGTTTCTAGACTCACCCTGAGGGTGTATTTATAGCCTTCAAATCCCTAAAACAAGCTAAAGATAATTCTTAAAATAATATCTTTTATCCTAATTAAAACACTTAAAACTATTTACACAAAAATACCTAAAACAAAGAAAAATAAAATAATATTTAAAATAATATCTTAAATCCTAATTGAAATACTAATATCTTTTGAAATTAAAATACAAAGATAAAATATAATATTAATATATACTAAATAAACCCCGGACGAAAATGGGTGTATACAGCTGCCCTTCTTTTATTTTTTTTTCATGTAACGAAAAATAGGACAAAGATAAAAGGACACAAATTTTCGTTTGGTAGTTGCGGATGACTTATCCGTCGCGAAGTCGGGTCAATCTTGAAACGATATCCTTCTTCATGAAATCGGAATTTGAATCGGAAGGTGGCTTCATGCTGTCAAATCGTAGTCAACCTTGGTCTTCTTCTTGGTTTAAAGACCTCGGTTTGAAAATTCAACTAGAAAATATTTCCTCGATGCTACCATATGGTTGATGTGCCCTCGAGCTGAATGGAATCAAACTCGAAGGTTTTTGTTGACAGATACCCTTCTCGCCTTGTGCTATGTTGTAAATTCGGCTGGGAGATAGTTTATTGTTGCTAAATCGCAGACAACCTAGGTCTTCTTCTTGACTTAAAGACCTCATTTTAAACTTCAACCAGAAAGTAGTTCATCGTTGCTACCATGCGGTTGATGTGCCCTCGAGCTGAATGGAATCGAACTCGAAAGTTTCCGTTGACAGATAGCCCTTCTCGCCTTGAGCTATACTGTAATAGGCTGGGAGATAACCCATATTGTTGTAGATGACTCATTTGTTGTGAAACTAAGTCAATCCACTTGAGCACAATATCCTTCGTCGTGAAGTTGAAATCGTGGACGACTCATTCGATGTGAAGTTGAACTTTGAATTGGATGTTCTTCGTTGTGAAGTTGAAATCCAAAATTGCATTGCTTTCGAGTTCAATATCTTTCGTTGAGAAGTTGAAATTGACTCTGAATGAAACTGTAAAGTTATTTTTTGACAGAAAGCTTTTCTCATCTTAAGCTATGCTGTAAATTTCCTCTAAATGAAGGATGACCCCCCTTCGCGGGTCTAAGCCGATCATAGTTCTTTAAATGCTCCCCTTCACGGGAAAGACAAGTGGTATAAGATGAACTGGATCCATTCTGAATTAGCTCTTGGACTCGTTTGAAGTTGATTCTAAGATCTGTCGATCTTTCAATTGGTCAAATTGGTTGAGGTGTAGCTCCTCGTTGTTGAGTTAAACAACCACCATCAATATTTTTTGAAGGTACTTTTGAATCGCGTATCTTTCGTCTTGAAGTTGAAACTTGACTTTAAAGTTGCATAAATTATGTATGTGAAAAATGATAAATGTGACGCTCTTAAGTATGTCTAAGATGTATGCAGCATGAATTAGTTATGTTTTATCTCCTCGATTGAGCCTCATTTTTGTCTGTTTGTTCCTGCATGTGGAGGAAAGGCCTACAGAAGATCTGGTTCGTTCATATTAGGATGTTGAATCTACAAAGATGCACCAATATTCGGTGATGAATCTCCAAAAATGCCCCAACATTTGATGTTGAATCTTCAAAGATGCCCCCACTCTTCCTCATTTCTTGCTTCAACATTGATTCTAATTGTGAGCTTCGTGTCCGAGAGCCACATGTCATCTACTAAGATCCACTCTAGAGAGATTGTCTTGTTTGAAAAATGTTTCAAAGTTCTGGAAAATATCAATTAAAATAATTTTGGAAAATGTTTAATCAAAAGTTTTGAAAATATTGCCCCTTTCTCGGTTTTACAATTGAGACAAATCATAAAACTAGAGTTCATTGGATATCAAAGAATTAATTACATTGTTAGTCCTTCAATAAATTATAACTATTTGACTAGTGTCAAGATCAAAGCTATCTTTGGGAAATGGTTAAGTAAGGAAAGGATATAAAAGTCTCAGGTTATTGTGTTTGGTCAAAGGTTTGTCATTTTTGTATATTTGATGCTCAATAGTTTGATGGGGTAGCTTGTATGCTCCTCTACTGGAAGTGTTCTCCGACTCCCAGGTTTCATGGTCATACTCGGATTGTATGATGTCTTATCAAGGAATTTATGCGATCGTCTCAACTGTATAATTTTTATATTCGATTCACCTTTTCAGGTTTTCAACTCGAATCCTCATTTGGTTTCAAGATGTCATTCAGAATTTACGTCTTGAGCCCCCATTTGTTATTTTTCTCTAACATGCATTAAAGATTTTAGAAAACCTTTTGCAAATAAAGATTAATCCTGATAAGCGGGATGAAATCTGAAGATAGTCTCTTCTATTTAAAAATCCATGTATGATTAGAAGGGACTTTTAAGGAACGTAACGTAGGCCATGGTTTATGGTTATGAAAGAAATGGATAAAAGGCCCAAACAAGTGTTTAAGGGTGATTGAACCAATGATCAATTCATTTTGAAGCCTTCAATCTTGTCTTGCTCAATTTGAATAAGCTCGTATGTGTCTCTCTTGATGCTCTATGATCTTCGAGTGAAGTGATTCATTGATTCTGGAATGATTGTGCTTGATCAATCTCATAGTTTGAAGCTTGATGTGCCATTTGGCTTTAGGGAATCTTTGTATGTTCTTATTGTCCCTTTTTCTTTATTTATTTTCTCTTTGCTTCTTTTCTTTTTTATTTTAGTTCTTTGATTTTCTTTCTGCTTTGATTTGAACTTTGCACTTATAATTTGGTTCACCTTCCAGTATCTCCTCTGATTTGATGTCTACACTCATGCGAGCAGATTTCCTCCACCTTGCCCCCAATGTGGAGGGTGATCATTGGTTAGGTTGAACCAGAAGAAAAAAATACTATAGGCTCAAAAGGGGATAACAAGGGATATATATATATATATATATATATATATATATATATATATATATATATATATATACATATATGGATAAATGAAACAAAGTCGTTCATCATCTCATACACAAAAGTCCTCGAAGAAGAGGTATCCTTTGGGGGATAGATTTTCAGGAATAATTTTTATTCACATGAAAACAATGTAATTAATGCATGATAGAATTATTTCGAATTAATTCTACTTTCTGGTTCTTTCTCCTAGCATGTCTCAATGTTCAAGCTTTCTACGAGATGCCCCAAGTTATATCTTAGAAGAAGGCTAATGTCCACATGAACAACTCAATGCCTTAGGTTTTATTGGTATAAAAATGTCAATTTTGTGTCTAAAAAGATAATGGTGTGACTTTGTTGACCCAAAGAAAGGTATGGATATGACTCTTTGTGTATCGAAAAGATAAAGGCAATGCTCAAAAGTTTCAAAGGGAGGTAATGTCAAAATCTGGTCTTTTGGTAATGACCATGAGTTATTTTGGGTAAAAAATTAAGGTATTTTTTGGTTTTGGACAGCATAAGAAAGGTCCAATCTTGTCATATGTCAAAAATCCATAATTCTTGAAGAATTAAAAGAATCTTTAATTCATTCGATATTCAAAGAACTAAAGATTAAAACTCATTCAATTATTCCACCTTAGAAGGTAGCATAAATTCAGTTGTTTAAAATATTAAGCAAATATGAAAGATCAAAACGTGTTCAAACAAAACAATGCTCTCAGTACAAATGGAAGATGCAATGCCCCCTTCTTCGATTGTCCATGCCCCTGAATCCATCAGGTTTTGGATTTTGCACTTCAGTGCCTTACAATTCTCAGAAGAAATTTTGGAGCTTCCTATGTGGTAACTGCACACAACTTCAACATCGTAGCCCTTAGGATATGGGGACTCTTTTCTCAGATCATCCTGGCAGACTTAGTCCTACAACCAGTTGATCGGGCTCCCGCTGTACTGATTTCAATTTTTCCTTTTAATTGTTAAAATCTAGCTTCCATGTGGTTTCATGTGGTTAAGACCACTTCATCGAATCCTAT